GTCCCTTGTGATCCTTTATATTTCTGTGGTATCAGTTTTAATGTTTCCTTTTTCATTTCTAATTTTATTGATTTGTGTCTTCTCTGTTTTTTTCCTTGTTAGTCTAGCTAAAGGTTTATCCATTTTGTTTATCTTTTTGAAAAACCAACTCTTTGTTTCATCAATCTTTTGTATGTTTTTTAATCTCTAATTCACTTATTTCTGCTCTGATCCCTGTTCTTTCTTTCCTTCTGCTGATTCGGGGTTTGGTTTATTCTTGCTTTTCTATCTTTTTGAGGTGTAATGCTAGGTTGTTCATTTTAAGTCTTTTTTCTTTTTTGACATAGGTATTCATTGGTTTAAACTTCCTGCTTAGAACTGCTTTTGCTATATCCATAGGTTCTGGTAAGCTGTATTTTCAATTTTACTTGTTTCCTGGAAATTTTAAATTTCCTTTTTGATTTCTTCTTTGACCCATTCTTTGCTTAGGAGCATTTTGTTTAATTTCCATGTATTTTTATGGTTTCTAGTGTCCCTTTTGTTATTGATTTCTAGTTTTATTCCATGGTGGTCAGACAAGGTAATTGATATGATTTCAATTTTTTAAAATTAGTTAAAACTTGGTTTGTGACCTACCATATGGTCTATTCTAGAGAATGTTCCATGTGCTGCTGAGAAGAATGTGTATTCTGCAACTGTTGGATGAAATGTTCTACAAACTTTCATTAGGTCCAATTGGTCTAGAGTAGAGATTAATTCTGATGTGTTGTGGTTAACTTTCGGGAACAGGAACCATACTTAGGCAGGCGCCTTATGATTTGATTGCGCCGCAACATGGCCCAATAGATATGTTGGAGTCTATCTCTCCCATTAGGTCTAATAGTAATTGCTCTGTATAACTGGGTGCTCCATAGTTGGCTGTACATGTATTTAGAATTTTTATATCTTCTGTTGAATCAATCCCTTTATCGTTATATAATGACCTTTCTTATCCTTTTTTACTTTCTTGGCTTGATGTCTATTTTATCTGATATAAGTATAGCTACTCCTGCTCTTTTTTTGTCTTCTATTTGCATGAAATATCTTTTTCCATCCCTTCACTTTCAATCAATGTTTGTCTTTATAGGGAAAGGGAGTTTCTTGTAGGAAGCATATTGTTCGTTCTTGTTTTATGATCCATTCAGCCATTGTCTTTTAATGAGGTCATTTAACCCATTTACATTTAGATTATTAATATATAGTCTTGCTGCTGCCATTTTATTGCTTTTATTCTGATAATTTAGTATATCATATTTTCCCATTTTTTTTGGTCTCACTGTCTTTGTGGTAAAGTGATTTTCTCTAGTAGTATCTTTTGATATCTCACTATTTATTTTTAGTATGTCTCATAATTTTTTGTCTGGTTACCATGAGGCTTATAAAAAACATGTTATAGTTATAAAAGATTATTTTAAGTTAATAATAATTTAACTTTGATATTTAAGAAGAAGGAAAAAACCAAAGCCAACTCTACACTTTGGCATCATTAGTCCCCACTTTTTGACATTTCATTAATTACGTCTTTTAATATTGCCTGTCTCTTTTACAGTTGTTGTATTTGTCGTTGTCTTGTCAGGTGTGTCCTTTAGACTTCATACTAAGGATATAAGTGGTTTATTCACCACACCTACAACACTGTAGTATTCTGAGGTTGTCTGTGTACTTACTTTACTAGTGAATTATGTACCTTCAAATATTTTCATCCTACTCTTTAGTGTCATCTTTTTACTTCAGCTCTTTGAATATAACATCCCATTTTCTTTCAGCCTACAGGGATTGTATTGACAAATCTGCTGAGAGATGTATTGAATGTTACGTGTTTCTTTTCTCTTGCTGCTTTCAGTATTCTTTCTTTGACTTTGGTTTTTAATAATTTGATTATGATGTGCCTTGGGGTGTTTCTGTGTGGATTGAATTTGATTGGCAACCTCTGAGTTTCTTGTATGTGAATACTGCCACTTTTCTCCATTCTTGGGAAATTTTCAGTCATTATTTCTTTGCAGATGCTTTCTAGATTTCTTCCTTTTTCTTCTCTTTGGGGTATTCCAATTATCAGAGGTTATTTTGCCTGAGGGAGTCCCATATTTGCTGTATTTCTTTTTCATTGTTTCTTGTTCTTTTTCTTTTGGATCTTGCCATTGGGTAGTTTCATATGTTCTATCTTCAAGCTCACTGATTCTTTCCTGTGTTTGCTTAGGTCTGCTCACGGAGCTTTCTATCAAATTTTTCAGTTCAGATAGTGTATTCTTTATTTCTAGAATTTCTATTTGGTTTTTAAAAATTGATTCTATACCTTTGTCAAGTTTCTTGTTCTGCTACTGAGTTGTTTTCCAGATATCATTTAATTTACTTTCTGTATTGATTTGTGATCTGAATTCTCTGTCAGACGTTTCATAAATCTTCTTTTCCTCTGTATACATTGCTGATGTTTTGTTGGTTTCCTTTCGTGGAATCATATTTCTCTGTTCTTTCTCAATCCTTGTGTCTTTATGTTGATGTTTGGGTACTTGAGGGGACTGCTACCTCCTCTAGGTTTTATAGGTGTTCTTTGCTGGTGTTAGATCTGTAATGGTTAACATCAAGGCTTTGTCTCTGGCCCATGTTTTTTTGTTTGTTTGTTTCTGTTTTTTCCATTCTGTGGTAGATTATTAGCTACCACCACCACTTAAACTGCACTGGAACTAATGTACTGCCATGTGGATAATTCCCAAATTGGGGAACTTGCTGTGGGGACCAGAACTTGAACTCTGTGCTTGAGCTAAATTGCTGCTTTGCTACTCATTTTCTGGGGAAAGCCCTTTGTGTGGAATGGATTTTAACTGTTGGCATTTTAATCACTTCTGGATCTGTGAGGTCATCACAGACTCCTCAGCTGTGTGGAATTTCTAGCCCAGGACTGACTCTTTCCTACACATTGCACCCCCCTGAAGTTCCTTCACCCTGACAGGTCTCCACTGAGACCAACTGCACCCCAATGTTCCCCCAGCAGGCCAGACTTTCTCCTACACTCCAAATGCTTCCCATAGGGCAGGCCATTCATAGATCCCTTGCAATGTCTCACTGACTTCCGGGTGGCTCCTTTCTCTGGTCTGCTGCAACCTCTTGCTCCTATGCAGGCCAAGGGGAACAGTGGTCTTACTGGCCTGAAGGCTGATATTGTGCACTCTAAAGCCCTCTTGTCCTTGCAGACTCTAAGCAGCTTCGCATAAAGGGCACTGTTGCAACTTTTGCCAGCTCCTGGAAGCTGCTCCATGTGCTACAGCTACTGCCTACTTCATACCAGGCCATCCCAGAAGTGGCCGGGACTCAGAATAATCAGAGCAGTCCCTATTCCCTCTCTCCCTCTCATTATGGCCTTTTGCACCTTCATGGATGCCATGGGTCTCTCTTCCTCTTCTCTGAGCTCCAGCAGTCCCAGGACAGCTGTCTTTGCTTTATAATAATTGTAAATTGATCAGTTGTTGGGAGGAACGATGCTGGGAATCATCTATTTTGCCATTTTGATGACATCATTCTGTCTCTTCTAGTTATTTTTGTCCAAATGTAATTGTCATTTGTTGTTTTGTCTGTCTTTGTGGGAAAGACAAGAAGTAGGGTCTTCTAGTTGTCCATCTTGCTGATATCACTCCTTCATACAGGTTTTTAATTGTCTTCTTTTTCGAGACTCTTTTTCTTTCATTCTGGCAGCAAATCTCTAATCTGATCTAATGAGAAAAGAGGGATAATCCTCAAACCCTTTCATCTTCTCAAATAGATATTGATTTGCATATGTAGCGTGTCATCACTGTGACAAGAATACATCTGGCCAGTGTTAAGGTGAATTTTGAGATTTGTGAGTCAAACAGAAGTGTACAACTATAAATTCTAAGTATAGAGAGAATTTTAAAATAACTGTATACGAAATAAGTAAGTGTGTAAGTTAAAGCATCCCTAAAACTCCTAAGGGAGCACTTTTGAAGGATTTGTTATTATATTATTTTTTATGACTATTATTAATATACTATTAATGGTTGCCAAATCCTATTCTTGTCTAGGTATGGATTTGTAATTAAAACTTGCAATCACCAACAGCAAAATGATTTCTAACTCTGTATTTAATTCCTTCCAAAATGAAGGCCTTAATTTCCTTTGATAGTTTAATGCCTTGCCTCCAGCCAAAAAATTTATTATTACTAATGCTGCCACTTCTGCTGTTGTTTTGTTATAATTAGAAGCAAATCTAATGATTTTCTCCATTTTGGGACTAATTGCATTTTCTTTCATGTATATCTATGGGCCTAAAGCATTAGGGAAAAGGTGAAAAGGGAGTATTCTAGATATTCCAGGAAAAGAGGAGAGAGAAGAAAAAGGAGAGGGAGAAAAAAAAATAAACATAAGAAGATAGTGGTACTGTCAGTTTTAGGCAACAATCAGAGAAATGTTTGGACACTGGGCTACCTAAATTTAAGCTGCAGTCAGAGCTCAAAAATAAATAAACAAACAAACAAACAGATAGATAGATAGATAAATAAATAAATAAATAAATAAATAAATAAATAAATAAATAAATAAATAAATAAATAAATAAATAAATAAATAAATAAATAAATAAATAAATAAATAAATAAATAAATAAATAAATAAATAAATAAATAAATAAAAATAACCCCTGGGCTCAAAAGTCAGTACTGTGTAATTACTAAAGTACGCACTCTGTAGCCAGGCTGGCTATATTATAAATCCTGACTCTGCCATCTATTATCTGTGTGATACTAAGCAATTTACTCAACAAATCTGTGCCCAAGTTTCCTCATATGAAAAATAAGGGTAATAATAGTAAAAATATAGGACATTGCAAGAATTAAGAAAGCTGTGTAAACACTTAAACACAGTTCCTGTCACATAGTACCTACTCTGTAATCATTGGCTATTATTACTTGGACAACCACTTCTGCTATCGTAATGAAATATTATCTGCTTAATTTGTTTCTTGTTTGTTCCACAGAAGACGTCCTGATGTTATAACAACAACTGAGTGGCACGCTCCAGTCATATGGGAAGGAACTTACAATAGACAGGTCCTGGAAAAATACTACAAGAGGCTGAACATTACCATAGGCTTGGCTGTATTTGCTACTGAAAAGTAGGTGCTAATATTCATCCTTTATTATTTTGGAAAAATATGGATGAGTACCCATGGACTTTCTACATCCAAAGAACTACTCATCATTAACCTTAATCATTATTTCTTGCTGTCCTGTAATAGTTATTTATAGCGGTTATCTTCTCCAGCCTTGGCTGAGTCCTTAACACTGTTGGGAATCTTTACACTAATATTCACTTAACTCTCTTTCCCTTTCTTCACAACAAACCTTACGGTTCTTCAGGTCCTCAAGCATACCACATTCTCTTTCACTAACCAGTACAATTGCAGCTGTAGACCCAACTTCTCTACCCCTACCTTCTTTAGCTTCACCGACGCATATGTTAGACACCATGTTGAAATAGCACGTACTCTCCTGATGTTTAGCAAAATAATTTTTTTCCTTTTTTTTTTTCATGTTTCACAGATTTGTAGAGTACCTGCAACAGTTCATACAATCTGCTAATAAGCACTTTATGATTGGCTACAATGTTATCTTTTACATCATGATTGATGACTTCACCAGGCTACCTCCCCTAGAGTTAGGTCCCCTTCGAACATGTAAAATATTTTCTATAATCAAAAAACAAGGCTTTCAAGATGCAATTCTCATCAACATGAAGAACTTAGAAATGCACCTCATAGATAGCATGCAACATGAAGTCGACTTTCTCTTCGTTATGGCTGTAAACCAGATCTTCAAGAATGACTTTGGGGTGGAAACCCTGGGCAGGTCTGTAGCCCAAATCCATGCATGGTGGTATTTTAACAATGCTAAAGATTTCCCATATGAGAGAAGACCTCGAGCAGCAGCTTTCATCCCCTTGGAACAGGGAGATTTCTATTACCACAGTGCAACATTTGGTGGCACACCCAATGAGGTTTTAACCCTCCTTCAAACATATCAAAAAGGAGCTATTCATGACATCACAAAAGAAGTTAAGAGCACGTATGAACAACACCTAAACAAATATTTTTTTCTCCACAAACCTGCTAAGCTGTTATCACCAGAATACAATTGGGATCCAAATTTTAAAACTCCTTTACAAATTAAACATGTTAACATAGCATGGCAGTCAGAAATGCTTTGATTGCTGTACCATTAGATTTATGAATTAATAAGTAAATCACAATAATTCCTTAAATATAAAACTTGTGAAATTTTTCAGTTTTTTTAGAAACTTAAAAAATGTACAATCTTCCAAAATAAATTATTTCTCTTCTTGCAATTTTGAATCATCTAATTCTACCTGTTGGATAAAAATTAAGTAGATGATAATTTAATGCAATGTTATTATCTATGTGATATACATGTGTCATAAATAATGTGGAAATACTTTCAGAGGCATAAAATGATTCTTTAATGAAGAAATACACCCAAACTCTAGTTCAGAAAAAAATTATGTATATGTGTACACTTTAATGCAATGTTATTATCTATGTGATATACATGTGTCATAAATAATGTGGAAATACTTTCGGAGGCATAAAATGATTTTTTAATGAAGAAATACACCCAAACTCTAGTTCAGAAAAAAATTATGTATATGTGTACACACACACACACACACACACACACACACACACACACAATATCAAAGGATTATATGTAAGGGGAGAAAATTAATATTCATCAACTCAGATATTTGCTATGTTTTTCAGTGTTGGGATATATATTGCTTGTGATTAATCTCCTCAATTAGTATTCAATCTGTCTAGTATCTGACTGAATTTAGGTGAACCAGAAACATTCTACCACATATGTATCTTACTTTTATTGTTACAAAGAGAGATGTTGAGTTCATATTTTTTTAAATGCTACAGAAATGTTATTTTAAAATAGGTATTCACTGAACTCCATAGCAAATGTACTCTTCTGGATACAGTCGGGGATAGAAAAAATGTTAGAAACATAATTTGTCCTCCTATAGCCTACAGTCTACCAGGGAGATAAGACTATATTTCTTTTGCAAGTTTAAAAGTGCTAAAAATCACAAGGAAGACATGGCTAAGATACTATGGTGGCTCAGGAAAGGGAGCAGCCACTTCCACGAGAACATGTAGTCATATTGGCTATGTTCTCATAAATTTAGTGAGGCATTATACCATATTTATAAGAACTGGAGGTTCTAAAATTACAAGTTTTAATCCCCTTTTATGAGCAAAAAAATGAGGTTTAGTAAGTATTCTGTAAATGATAAGTACTCTTGGTTATTAACATACCAAAATTATAATAAATATTGATGATGACTGTGGCAGGCAGGCTCTATGACTGCCCTTAATGGTCCATTTCTCCTGGTATTTGTGTACTTGTGTGATCCGCCTCTCCTCTCCCAACCTTGAGTGCAAGCTGAACATAGTGACTTGCCTTCAACCAACAGAATGTGACAGAGGGGATGAGATGTCACTTTCATGATCAGGTTACAAGATTGTGACTTCCGTATTACCAGTGGACTTTCTTGCTGCCTTTGATGTAGCAAGTTGCCATGTTGGAGAGGCCCTCATAGCGAGGAACTAAAGACAGCCTCCAGCCAACAACCAGAAAGGAACTGAGACCCCTCAGTCCAACAACCCTCAAGGAACTGAATACTAACAATCACATAAGTGAGCTCGGAAGCAGATCTTTCCCCAGTTGAGTCTTCACATGAGACCTCATTGCCAGCCAACATCTTGATTACAGCTTTGTGAGGAACCCAGAAACAGAAGATCCAGCTAAGCCATGCCCAGATTCCTGACCCACAGAAACTGTGAGATAATAAATGTGTGTAGTTCAGTGGGTGGTTGTTATGCAGCAATAGGTAACTAATATAGATTTGGTAGCTGGAAACGGGGTACTGCCATAAAAAATACCTAAAATTGTGAGAGTGACTTTGGAACTGGGCAGTGGATAGAAGGTGAAAACACTTTGAGAAGCATGATAGAGAAAGTCTAAATTGCTTTGAACAGACTATTCATAGAAACTGGCACTTTGAGGACACTGCCAGGGAGAGCTCGAAAGGAAATGGGGAACTTATTATTGGAAACTGGAGGAAGGGAGATCTTTGTTATGCAGTGACAGAAACTTGGCAACAGTGTCTCCTGCAGTTACATGGGAAACAGAACATGTATCTGACGAGCTTGCTTATGTAGCTAAGGAGATTTCCAGGCTTTCTTCTTCCTGTTTATAGTAAAACGTGAGAGAAGAGAGATGAATTGAGGAAAGAACTGTAAAATAAAAAGAACCCTGCTTTCTTTGAGTCTTTGGTCCTACACAAGATGACCTGCTTCTGGACACATTTCTCCCTGTTACTCCCCTCTAAGTGCAGCTACAAACCCTGGAAATAATTACACACAACCATAAAAGGACTCTGAAAGAAGAAGGTAGACTGCCTAGGAACCTCAGGATTTGAGAAGTAACACCATGGTGAGTTCCCCGGGATTTCTTCTTATCTCCCATATATTCCAGACTGGGCACTGGTGAGGCCTACAGCTCAGAACTACCAAAAGGCATAGACCAAAAAAAAAAAAGCCCTAAGAAAAGCTGGCTGTCTCTGGCCAAAGGTTCAGGAAAGAGACAGCCCAGCAGAGACCTAGTGAGGAACTCCACCTCCCCTCCATACCTGGCTGGCTTGCTCTGCCTGTACCAGCAGCACCTACAAAGAGTAGGTGGAAAATTCCACCCCCCATCACCCCCCCAGGACCAACAGGACCAGAGTCTCCTGGCCTTCTGCTCAGCAGTGGAGGGAGACCCAAGCCAGAAATCCCTTGGCCCGCCACCACGAGGCAGAGTAACCCAGGCCTCCCATCTCCCAGCATCTCCCAGACATCCCCAGTGGCAAAAGATGACCCACGCATAGTGTTTCCTGACCCTCCCTCTCCACCATCAGTGCCAGAAGGCAGCCCAGATAGGTGCTTCCCTCCCTTAGCAGTTCCAACAGAGATCGAGTAAGAAGACTGTCAGCACCAAAGCAGGTCCTGGGAAACACCCTTTGTCCCATAAGCCCAACATCCTTCACCCACCACCTAGAGGCACTGGGATCCCAAGAAAGTACCTTTTGTCCCCTCAAGCAACACCAGCAGGGATCAAGCAGGAACGCCCATTCCTGGCACTGGCCAGCCCAGATAGCAGGCTCAGGGAAGTGCTCACTGCCCCACGGCCCGCATCTCCCTCACTCCACCTAGCAGGACAAGGCCTGATACAGTGCATTCCACCCCTGCAGGCAGCACCAGCGAGAAAGAGCAGGAGCCTCAGCGGAACCAGCTGAACAAAGCAAACTAGAAAGAACAGCGCTGTATAGGCTCTGAAACCGTTACTGCCATTGAAATCACAGCCCAAAAAAGTAGGCCAGGAACTATGCACTGTATTAGCCAGAGTTCTCTAATGAAACAGAGTCAAGAAGATGGATACACACACATGCACACACACATGCACACACACATACATACATACATACACACATGCACACACGTACACACCAGAGGGTACTTCAAAAAGTTCATAGAAAAAATAGAATTAAAAAATGATATGAGTCTTTCCAAGAGCTATTGAAAGATCCCTCATGTGCGTATATGTAGAGAGAGAGAGATTTATAGCAGGAATTGGCTCACACAATTAAGGAGGCTGAGAAGTCCCAGGATTTGCCATCTGCAAGCTGGAGAACGAGGAAAGCTGGAAAAGTACTTTAGTTTGAATACCAAGTCCCGAAAACAAGGAGCACCAGTTTCCAAGCGCAGGAAAATATGAACGTCCCAGCTTAAACAGGGAGCATATTTGCCCTTTCTCCACTTTATTGAGCTACTCAGGCCCTCAGTGGTTTGGATGATACCCGCCCACATTGGTGAGGGTGATCTTCACTCAGTCTACCAATTCAAATGCTAATCTCCACCAGAAGCGCCTCACAGACACACCCAGAAATAGTGTTTACCAGCTATCTGGGCATCCTTTAACCAACTCAAATTGATACATAAAATTAACCATCACAGGTTGTATATTATATGATTCCATCTATATGACATTTTGGAAAAGGCAAAACCATAGAGATGATAGACACTTCAGTGGTTGCCAGGGTTTGGGGGCTGGGAGGGTTAAATAAGTGAAGCACAGGGGATTTTTCAAGGTGGTGAAACTATTCTGTATGATACTGTAATGGTGGATACATGTTACTAGGCATGTGTCAAAATCCATAGAACTTTACAGCACTGGATAGAATGTAGACTGTGACAAAAAAATAAAAATAAAAACTAACTATGTTACAAATATATGAATTGAGTTCACTGAAGAGGTTGAGGGGACAACATGCTGACCTAACTTTGGAAAGTAACCTTAGAAATGAGGGGAGACTGTAAGACTAAAAGCAAAAGGAACCACACATAAGGACTGGACTCTAGCTGGTAGAATTTTTTCCCATGGGGTATGGGTCGACAGTTCTGAAACCACCATCCGTGGACATACTGGAATTGAACAACTAAGTAAATTGGTGGCAAATGGTGGGAGCCAGGTTTCTCACTTTTGGAAAGTGAGGTTACAGACAAGCAAAAGGAGGAGGCCAGAATGATCCACACGGTAATGGATAAGAGTTCGAGACATCAGTATGAACTCACGTTTAGCTTAATATAGATACAAACGGATACCTGTAGAAATATTTATAAGCATGTGTATATACACAGATTAGTAGAAACACATATATTTCCTTGTTCTGTCAGCTGAGAGGGGCTTAGAAATATGACTTTCTAGTAGCAACAAGTAGATCTAAGCCCAGACCTTGGTTTATAATACCATTCTCCAATAAAAGGAACCAGAGCCCCTTGGAGAAATTGCTTATTCCAGAGCATGGGTACGAAATATACAAGATGGGCCTTGTCTTGGTTTTCTGCTGCTTATAACAGAATATCTGAAACTGGGTAATTTATAAAGAAACAAAAATTATTTCTTACGGATCTGGAGGCTGGAAAGTCTAACATTGAGGGGCACGTCTGGCGAGGGCCTTCTTGCTGGTGGGGGCTTTCTGCAGGCTCTGAGGCTGTGCAGGGTATCCTATGACAAAAGAGTCAGAGCATGTGAACATGCCTCTTCCACTCCTTCTAAAGCCACCAGTTCCACTCCCATAATAAA